TTGCTGTGAGCTGTAATGCCACGGCACTCTACCCAGGGGGGACAGCTTGAGGCTCTGTCTCAAAAAAAAAAAAAAAAAAGAAAGAATAAGTGTGTAAGGCAAGAGAACTGAGTTGTCAGTTTGGTACCAGAAAGGAATGAGAGAACCTAATGTCCCAACCTGATGTATCTTAATTTCTGACTTTACAAATATTAAACCCACTGGCACAAGCATTTGTATATCATCATCTATTATCAGTAAAACATAACTTTCTTTTTCTCACAGTATCCATGTTCTGATTAAACTCCCTGCATGATGTTTCTTAAACACATGCACATATACACGCACACACCACAAAACCAACCAACCAAACAAACCTGGCAGGAGCAATGTAGGCCTTTATTTAGGAAGGAAAAAAATACATAAATGATTCATCTCTAAATTGACATAGAATTGCTTAGTGCTTTCCTTTAACCTTTAATTTTAATTTGGTTTAACCTTTAGTTTCAGGTTTAGCTGTGCCTTCCAGTGACTCTAATGACAGGGAAGCTGTAAATGGATTTAAGTTCCTGCAAGAAGTGAATATCTGGCACAGAAAAGCCATATCTTCAGTATAAAGGGTAGAAAGAGCAAATTAAAGACTAGTCTTTAATAACCAAATGTAATTAAAATGCATTGTCAGATTTATGTTTTAGTACCTCAGAGGCATTGATATGGCCTGTTTCTGAAATGAGATTGCTGATTCAAAAAAAAAAAAAAGAAAAAAAAGCCCTCGATATATAGGAAATTCTCATAACCTCTTCCTCTCCTTTTAATTGTGATGTTATGATATAATTAACAGGGTAAAAGAGAAATGTATCTCTCGAGGAAATTGTAAACACACTTAAGGTTTTGTCACGTAGGGAGCTTCAAGCAGAAGGATTCTTTTTATATAATCAAGTATCATTTAGAAAATGACAATATTTATTAAGTTCCTTGGAGTGTTCTCAGTGGTACAAATTAAACCCTCCTCTTTTTTTTCTCCTAGAGTAGTTCAGTTGCGTAACTGCAGTCATTCAAAAGAGAAGCAGTTTGGCTTATCACCGACATTCTGGTTTCTCTTTTTATGAGGCTGGTCATGTCGGCAAAGTGGCAGCAGGGCTGTTTAGACATTCCTATTGAGCTTGAGCTCCTCCCTCCAGGGGCATGAGAGGAGGAGCCCCAGAGGTGATTTTTCTGGATGACTGGCTAGAGGACTCAGGACAGCTACTTTCTGTTGCAGAGGCTAGAGGCCCTGGTATACAACCGAGAGCAGGTGGGCTGCACAGCACTGCGTTGCCCCAGCTCAATTCCCTGATCCAGCTTTTTGTTTCATTTCCCTACCCTCGTCCCCAAAGCATTAATAATGTTATAGTGAGAGGCTGCTGAGGACTGTAGTGAACCATATAGTCCTTATTTCTTACCCTGAATGCATCTCTATGAAAATTATAGCAAAGGTAGAATTATGATTTTATGTCAACAAAAAGTGGTATCAGTTAAAACATAATACAACGCTAGATTGAAAGTAGCAATAACTGGATTTTGCTATCTTCCTCTGACCTTGAAAAAGACATAACTGGCTAGGTGAGGTGGCTCATGCTTATAATCCTAGCACTCTGAGAGGCCAAGGCAGGAGGATTGCCTGAGCTCAGGAGTTCCAGACCAGCTTGAGCAAGAGCTGGACCCCGTGACTACAAAAAACAGAAAAATTAGCTGGTCATGGTGGTGCATGCCTGTGGTCCTAGCTACTCGAGAGGCTGAGGCAAGAGGATTGCTTGAGCCCAAGAGTTTGAGGTGGCTGTGAGTGTGATGTCATGGTGCTCTACCCACGGCAACAGAGCAATTGTTTCAAAAAAAAAAAGTATGTGCTAAGGCGCCAGCCACGTACACCTAAGGTGGCGGGTTCGAATCCCCAGCCCGGACCCGCCAAACAACAATGACGGCT